GTGTGTGTGTGTGTGTGTGTGTGTGCGTGTGTGTGTGTGTGTGTGTGTGTTATGAACACCAAGTTAATTTAGCTAATGCAAAACATGACTAAAACATGACTAGAAAAGGAGATATACTGTAGGGGAATTGTACTCATTAAACTGAAATTTTAAAAGGATGAAAACACAGATTACACTTTATTTTAAAAACTGAAATGAATTTTAATACAGAAAATGAAGACAGCATTTTGCAAATTTATCGCTCAAAGGGGTATCTCTATTTGAGGAAATCAGTGTGTTACACTTTGAGAGATGAAATGTTACAGCTTGTACACCAAAATTAAAAAATGAAATTAAATTAAAAAATGAAATGGTTACCAAGGTAATGCAGGTCAGGGGATCAAAGGTGAAGGGTCACACATTATTAAAAAGAAATCCAAAAGGACGGCTGCATCATGATCTCTGCAAAACAAAGGAGCTCCAGTAAGTAAAACTAATATCTCCGAGAATTTTAAATCAAGTTCTTGAAAAGAAGACTCCCTGTAATTGAACACAGTCATTTCTGATTCTGCGTAGAGCCATTTTTATTTAGGTACAAAACCAAATTTAAATTACCTGTTACCAACAAAATTTTTGTAAAAAGTTAAACACTCAATCATATTAAAACCCAAGTATCTCCAAATGTAAGTCACTGAGAAGCACTGACATTTCCACTAGACCCCACACCCTGTTTTCCGGAAATGACAGTGTTTGATAAGTTGGCAACATATCAAAAATCTAATTTGGTCACAGCTTGGTGAGTTTTCTTCCTCTCCTCAAGAAATGAGTCCCAAAATTGAGTTTTTGCAAATTTGTTTCGTTTGAAGTAGCTGCATAAAATTTCCATTATTGGAACATTTAGTGTAACAATGTTCTAGAAGACAGCAATAAAGTGATACACGATAAAATAAACTGTGTGACTATATCTATTAAGATCTGTTCTAACATTCAACTCTCACTGCGCAGGGGAAAAAAGACAATTTAAGCAAAATAACTTGCTAGTTCTACTGGAATTACACAGAATTAATAGAAGCTTGACACGAGGAACATTTTAAAACAGAAAAAAGTATCTGACGGTTTCAATTTCATGTTATTTACTCATCTTCCTCATTAACAAACTAAAATTGTTTTTAAAAGGACAGAAAGAGCTAAGGTTTTGTTTTGCAACATGTAGCTACCACTTAAATCATAACATACTTAACTTTCAGCAATAGCAAGCATAACAATTAATAGTTACAATAAATAATTTCCATATTCACTTTACTAGTAAATAAAATGAATACTATCATGAGAGGGTAATCTTTAGTCTCCTCTCTAAAACTAAACTTGAGCAGGTTACATGCCCTGATTTTAGGATCCAAATTTCTTATCTTACTGGACAGCAGGTTCTAACATGCAATGTGAATAATGGCTCCCATATATGAGAGTAAATGGGAGCATGACTAGCAAAAAAGAACTCCATTTAAGTACTATTCTTTCTTCTAGGCTCCTAGTTCAGTTTCATCTTACACTATATAACATTTGAGCTTACCTTGTTAAAATCAAATTCCAAAAATACTTATATATTAAAATATAGACAATTGCCCAAAAGGATTTTATTAAAAGGAACAGGATATTCTTTCTGGTGGCTCATAGCAATCAATAAATAAACTCTTTAAATATCAGATTTCTGTTAACCTTGATTAGGTTTTGTTAAAAATAACTCGCAGAGCTTCATGCACTAGATACAAGTGTGTTAGTGCCTTAAAGCCACGTTTCTCAAAACATGATTTTTTTTTTTTTAAGTTCCACAGCTACTGAAAAGTAAACCAGCATTTCATTTCTCTGGAACGCTCACCTCACATAAAGTCTGTCACATGTGTATTTGTTGCTGGGAGGCATGCAAGCAATTTTGCACACTACAGAAGGAATCAATACCCCATCAAAACAATGCATATGTTGTTTTAGTAGCATTGTTATTCAGACCACTTCAGCATGTTTGTAAGAAAAGGCAAGAAGCCAGCGGTACAATGTTAAGTCAAGTTTTGTTTTACTAAACTATTTCCTATTAAACTATTTCCTATTAAAAATGAGAAAAACTATCTGTTCAGATAGAATATTTATATGTAACCCTTCATTACCAAAACACACGTATTTATTAAGTAATTTCTTCTTGACAACAAGATATAAAGTACATACAGAAGCTTTTTAAAAAGTCTTCTAAATCATTTCTAAAACTCACAAAAATGTTAGCCCAAATTTTAGGTGATTTAAGAAAATCTATGAAGGACTTGAGCTAATGTTTTTTTAATGAGTTTCCTACTTGGGGTGGAGGAAGTAAAGGCTACCAGGAGTTTACCACGTCCCTAATATTCAAGGATCCAGGAATATAATTTAATAAGTAAAAGCAGGCTAGAGGACAGAGCACACCTGGGGAGCACCTGATTCAGCTTCCACAAGGAGCTGTCGCCAGAGCCCCTTTGCTGAGGCAGGTATTTGGAATACACATGTATTTCCCCACAGAAACAATCTGATGACTGCCTACTTAACCTGAAATCTGTTGAAGTGAGAGTTCTGCTCCAAATTCTAGAGGCTATGGGGCCTGAGTAGCTTTTTATTTTTTTCCAAAGGACTGGCCCAAGCTGAAACTTTGGATACAAAACACTCTCCTAGCCTCCTGCCTGGGCCCCAGAGAGAGTGCCTCAGGAGCCAAAACTATCCATCTTCCTTTATCCTCCAGAAGCCTCCCTTCTCTTCAATAAGGTCCACGCATTAACTGACAACAAATAGAGTGAATTAATACATACCAGCATATGCAAAGACTAAGGGGGTTTCTTTAACCCAAAACAAATCCCCAACTGGTAGAACCGGCATTTTTACCTCAAGGGGTAGAGAAGGCTAATCTACTGCATAAGAGCCCCTTTCCAAAATGACAACTAGTAACTGAATTAAACAGGAAACACGCGAAAATCCTTCTAACCCCCAAAACTTTATGGGCATAACTAGTATACACGCTATCCTAAATCTAAAACTGGAAAACTATACTCCACATTGGTGAGTTATGTTCCTGAAATAAGAAAAACACCAAGATTCATTTTCACAAAACCATCAAGTCATCAGAGTTCTAGCAAAGAATACTTTTCCAGGGAAATTCTCACCCATATTAAGCTCTCAGTGTCTGGACAACTTTTTATAGGGACACGTTGTCCAACACACTCAATTTGTACTCTGTGTTAAAATTTGTTTGTTTGCTTGTTTGTTTGTTTGTTGCCAAGGACCAGCCAGCATTTATAAGTACAGAGAACTGGTTCATTTCTCAACTAAACAGACATAGAATAAAGAATGTCATTTCTAATAAGGTTAAATCATGACAGAAATCCTATCATTTTCACTATCAAAACAAAACACATGGAAGAACCAGAAAGAAAAGGAAAACAAAGAGCAAAGAAAATTCAGAGAGTCAGAGAAGCTGCGAGACAGTTGAAGAAACCCATTCAAATAAAGCCCTATATATTTTACTTATTCTTTACAAAATGACTATCAACTCAACAGTATAATGCTTTCTGCAGCAGAAACTAACCTCAGCAAGTGTATTCAGAGATTAAAAAGAGAAATGTCCAGCCAAAAGTTTATTACAGTGATGGGGCAAAAAAAAAAAAAAATTAATCTATAAATATAAATAAATAAATCACCAACATGTCATTCAACAAAACAGACAATTCACTAGGATAAAACACACTTGAGCTAAGCATATCCTTCCATTAAGTGGGGATTATTTTCTAATGCTCTTTCATGTTAGAATTTATGTTAGTTTTTTTGGCATGTTAGAAATACCATCTAGTGAAAAACTAAGAAAATAAAAGCATTTGGTTTTCAAGTTGGTGACTCCTCCAAGTGTGGCCCAGTCCGATACAGTCAGTCAGGAGGCATTCCCTATTCCCTCCCTTCTCTTCCCCCTTCCACCAACAGTCACTATCTCTACCATTTTTTTCAACTTTCTGAAAATATTATCTCCTTTGTCAAGTTTCTCAAAGATAGTCTGTTCTAAGATGTTGTTTCTCAGAACTTTCTATAAATGACACAGCAACCTATACCTACAATCATCATATCGTTTCCACCATAGTCCTCAAAAAGAAAATAAAAGCTAAAACTACAGATTAAATACCTTTCTACCTATTACTTTATCCTCAACAATGTAATTTTTTTTCCCTAGTAGCTTCAAAGATTTCACAAAAGGATGAAGGGAGTGGGAAGAAGGGATGGAAAAGAGCCGGAGAGAACTTTTAAGAGTGATGAATACACTCATTATGGTGGAGCGGTGACAGCTGTGTGGTGTGTGCATGTGCACACTTATTAACCGTACACTTTAAGTATATGCAATTTATTATATGCCAATTATACCTCAAAAAAGCTGTTTAGAATGGGGAGGCGGGCACAAGACAGGAACTCTGCCCTCTCTCTGCACACTTCGAGGCTATGCCGTGGCCACCCATGCAGAGAAGGCCGAGAGAGTCATGGGGAAGCCAGTGGGAGCCACCTTCCCTGAGCCACTGAACCCCAACTCTGGACCACCTGCTGTTGGACTTCTCAATAGGTGACATAATAAAAAGTATCCTGTTTAAAATAAATGCATAAATAAATACATAAATACTATATATTTAAAACATTTCATATTGATTACTAACTTTCATATTAGCCACAAATCTGAAAAATTACCATATTTTCTAAATTGAAAATCAGGGCAGTCCAACATAGTTTCTCTAAGAAGATATTCAAAATCAGCGTTAGACATACTTCTAGCTTTGCAAATGATACGTAAATTCACCAAATATTCTTAAATTTTTTCTTCAGATTTGAAATTTATATTATGTCAACTCTATCACAGCCAAGACCCATTCCTTTCTGGCACTATCCCACGAGGGAAAAATAATAACACAATATATACCAAATTCTCCCAAATACAAATTTATAAGAAATAAAACAAAAGGGAAACAGATTCCCCCACTGTTGGTTTTATTTCCATATTACTTGTTTTTAAGCTTACTATCTGTGTACTCTAGTGCTTATTTTACTTGCTCTACTGGCTTCCTATACGACTCCGTCTGATCATTAGGGCTCCTACATTTCCCATTTCCTCTATTCATCTACTCTCCAACCTCAGGCTGAGAATCCCCTATTTAAATGAAGTCATATTTAAAAATAGTTCCCCAAGTCCTACCCCTAAGAGATTACAATTTAGTACATCAAGAGAGGAGCTAAAGAATCTGCATTTTTAGTGAAAGCCCCTAGGTGAGTCTGACCAGAAGAGTACAGAACCCTCACTTCAAGAAAAACTGCCCAGGTGGGTCCAACCCCATCCTCCAGTCCCCATACACACATCCTACCTCCTGCAGGCACCGAGTCACAGGTGTCAAAGCTGTGAAAGTGTAAAGAAACAAATTCCA